GTAATCATGTCTGTACTTTCCCCCAACATCTTCACCGCTTGCAGTTTCTGGCCCAATAGGTGTGTTAACTACAACAACCAATAGAGATGTTAAGTTATCGACCATTTCATGTTTTTATATATACAACTATTAATTTCTCTATATATAACCATTTTTAGGGCTTCTGGTTGTCTCGGCACTGCTCATCATTTGCTGGCGGTTCAAGTGTTGCTGGAACCCATGCGGTGACGTAGGACAGCCATCAACCTAAAACCGTTGCGGTAAAACACTTTGGGGAGTGACAACATTGTTATTGGTACTTTTGAAAATGCTGCTATAATGGTTTTTGTCCGGGTTGTTAACTCTACCGCGAACCCTAACTCGAAAATACACCTCCTCCAGGTCAGCTTTTATAGCCAAATTTAGCATTGCATCTTCGTCATTGGGGCCAACAGTAGCTCAGTTGTACTTGCTATTCTGGGCTCAACCTTAGCTTCTCTTTTTCAGCTTTCTCCATCGTACTGAAAGTGTCTCCTTTCCTCAGAGTGAATGTGTTCGTTATCCCTTCCAAATCTGTTATGTGTTCCCAAGAGCTATTGTTATTCTTTCTCCATTCACCTCAGACAACCTTCACTAACATCGCCATCTTTGACTTTTCTGAAACCAAGCCAGCATTATCTTAGTTAGGCAAAGTTAATGCATATGACAATATTATCATTTTCCAAAACAATACTGTTATCGGAGCTATATATATAAATACTTGTCATTTGCTGTCGTCTTCTACAACTCCTTGTCGGTTTGAACGACCTCACCTAATGATGTATTGTAGTTATTACACGAGAAGAAGAACCTCCTGGGTAATAAATTCTGAAGAGAATGTTTCTCGTGTTGCAGAGAAACCGAATGAAGTATTCTCATAAATAGGGTACTAATGGTAAGTTTTTTAAAAATGTTATTTAGTTTATCGAGTAAGCCAAAATTATTATCATCCACACATTAGTTAGATTCACACAATCTTCGTCAGGCGGTGGATGTCTTCAGAATCTTTTAAGATATTTCCTGATCAGCTTTTCATTTAATGTTGTTGTCAGGGAAGTCAACTGCAACACCGGATAAGCAACTAGGTTGACGTCATCTCATGTAGGATTATTTCTGTCCAAAATTTATGACGTGGAAAGTAGCACCTATTTTAAATTACTCATTCGTATAGATTCAATATCTTGGTCAACTTATCACATATAACCGATTGATCTTTTTATTTATATCTATTCATTGTATCTAGTTAAGACAGTAATATTATCCCTTAATGCTTTTACCAGTTTTACCTAAAATATTTATTAACAGAAAACATAAAAATCTTTTTTTTTCCAAATATAAACAATCTTTTATCTGTAATTATTTTAACATAAAAAATTTTAAATAAATATACTAAAAATATCAAATAATATGAATTGTATATTTGTACTTATATTCTTACCTTCCCAATATTGCTTTTATAGATAATATATGAACAATTTGTTCCTAACTTTTAATATGATTAGTCAAAAAGCATTCCTTATATTGTTGTCTCATTAGGAATATTTGCCTAAAATATTTATTAACATAAACATAAAAAAAAAATCTTTTTCTTCCAAACTTAAATAATATTTTCTATATATCTATATTATTTCAACTTTTTAAAAAATAATTGAATGGTTTGAACTAAATATACTAAAAATATCAAATAGTATGAGTTGTATATTTGTATATATATTCTTATCTTTCAAATATTGTTTTTATAAAGAATATATGAACAGTTTGTTCCTAACTTTTAATATGATTAGTCGAAAATCAGTTCTTATACTGTTGTATCATTGTTATACCAAATTCATAATATATTATATCATCAATTTAGATAAAAACTAAAACGTGAGCGAGACACAAAAAAAAAAATCAATAGTACAAAACTACAAATTATGGTTAATTTGAGATTATCTTCTATGAAAAAAGTTTCTTTACAATTCATAAAAGCCACTAATAATTTCTTTTTTGCCACCCCATTACAATTTCTGATCGTAAATGAACTTTTAAGTATGAAGGAGTACTTGTTGCAGCTTTTTCTCATAGTCATGGGCTTATCCTTACGCATACACTCCAGTCGAATATTATATAATTTATTATATAACCCATATAATTCTGATTCACCTAGATCTTCTCATACACTTTTGGAAACATAATACACAAACCCTAGACACTTTCCACCTACGTGTCCATGTCTTGGTTTGGTTTTACTGAAAGAGTATTTGTAACATCCCAATTTTTGGTATATGTGAAGAGGTTTATAAAAATTGATTTGGTTATCTATGCCATTAAAGTGTACTTATCTTTTCGGGCATTGATCTTGATAGAACTCCAGAGTTAAGGGTGATTGAGCTGAGAGCAATCTCCAGATGGGTGACCTACTGGAATTGGTTCGCGGTACCGTATGAGTGAGGACAAAGCAAGAAAAAAGATCACGTGATGATCGCAGGTACAGTAGACAAGTCTTACAAGCCTCCCGGAATAACGCACTGACCGTCAGACAGTGATGAGCCCACAAGTCTAAAAAGAAATCAACCATCTGACAGTGGTGGACCAACATGCCTAGAGAGAAGGCGTTGGATTCACTGTGAAGGGCGGTTGGTGGGCTAATAGGCTTAGAGAGAGAACGTTTAGGGTTTAGGGTTTAGAATTGAGACGTTCAGAGTTGATAGCCAGTCCAGATAAAAAGCGGAATCGAAATCTCATTGTAAATGATAGCCGATCCGTCTGGTTCTCAGAAGGGAATGCGGAATCAGGGTCTCACAGTATTTGTTTTTTAAACCTCAAAATACTACTATAAATGTCCAGATATATTGAAATCTAACGAAGTTACATATACCATTAAACATAAGAAAAAAAATTCAGCACACATGTATTGCCAAAGTAAACCCATACATACTTCGTGTCTATATGAGACTTAAAGTAAAATATATTACCCAGCTTGTATAGCAGTTATAAATGAAATTTCTTTTCTGCTTTTTAGCTAATTTTGGATCTGTATATATATATAACACATGACATGAAATATAACCCTAACTATGGATGTTTTAAAAAGTATCATTGTATTATAAATATTTAACCCAGTTACATTAATTGATTTGATCATGTTGAATTTCAATGAAATAAAGCAGAAGGAGCAGAGATATCTACAAAAGTATCATTTTACTATAAATATTTAACATAAGCGAACCAACTACATAAATTAATTTGATCATCTTGAATTTCAATGAAATAAATCAGAAGGAGCAGAGATATTAACAAATGTCTTATATGAATTAAAAACATATAAAACAAAATTAATTCCTTAGGGCCCGCATAAAGTCAAAGAAACGATTCAGTATCATATTCCATTACGTATATCATTTTTACCAATGGAAGAGTATCGAGTCAGTTTCAAGTGAAAAGTGAATACGTATCAAATCAAGAAACTATGGCAAATTAAAATTTTCATGTTACCCTTGCAGAAGCCATGGCAAATCAAAATTTTCATGCTACCCTTGCAGAAGCCATGGCAACTAAAAAAAATATCAATTGAAAAGTGAATGAGTATCAAATTAAGATATTCCAAACAAAAGATCATTATAGCATAAACGATAAAAAGTAAAGTTAATTTGCTTTAAAGATGGAACCAAACAAAATGACCACCATCTGTTTGTACCAGTTATTTGTAACATAATGGCACAGACAAAATAAAAATAAAAACAAAAGGAATCCATTTCCGAGTGAGACTGATGGGAAAAGATAGAAAAGAGGCATCCCTTGCTGTGGAACATCAACTTTTTATCCCCAAAAGATACACAATATAACCCAATCTAATGTTTCACTAAACCAACTAACAGCAAGTAGTAAGAAAAAAAAATGTTCTACAGAAGCACCTTTCAAAGAATCTTGCTTTGATTTGGAGCTACAAGAAAAAAAATTGATACTAGATTCATGTAGATTTCCCTCGCAATTTGCCACCAATGAAAATTGATACCTCAAAAAGCTAACAAAAAGAACCATTTTCTATTTGTTCATCCGTGGGACCAATTGCTTTAGCTATGATTTTAAAAACAACGGCATGTAAAGATAAAGAAAGAAAAACTGTTTAGAAAAAGAAGGAGGTGGATACTAATGCTATGAGAGTGATCTTTATCGATAAAAGTAGCCTTTAACAAGATTAAGTGGGAGAGGCTTTGGCCTTTTGGCTTACTCTATGGACACCTTAATTTACTACGGATGGGGTGGATTCCTGTTTCTCAAACATAAGTGGAATTCGCTAAATGGAAATATTCCAATCCGTACACCTTGAAAACCACACAAGATCAACAAAAACTTTTAAGATCCACCATTGTTAAAAAAATATATACCAAAAAGGGAAAGAAAATAAAAATTTTAATCAAGCCTTGCTTAATTTTCTATATGAGACACTAGATCAAGGTGATGCCTGAAACTACGCCAACTCCTTTATCGATGATACACATATCACTGGGACAGAACTGTCTAACGAAAACTAATTAGTTAGTATCAAGAAGTTCAAAAGAAGCCTCACAAAAATCTATCTTCTTCAACACCATAACTGAAAAAAGATATGTTAGAAGCCAAGGCACAGTGAGATATTATCTGAATGTTGTGCTCCTATGTCAAAGATAGGGAAAGTTCATGGCTGCTCCAGTTAAAGCTCATGGGTCCCTGGAAGCAATTCTGAGAGATTTGATTTGCTAAAGCCACAGCCACATGGCACTACCATTGCAGCAACTGGTATGATGGACCCATTTTCTATAACAAAGCATTTTAAGCTGCAAATTATTTAATAAAACAAGACACTAAAAGTCAAAGACCTTATTGTGGGCTTGATCTTTATAGTTTATTCAACCAACCATAATTAAGAAAATGAAATTCATAAATATATAAAAAACTATTCCTCATTATATATCTAAAAGATAAAGAGAAACTTTACCTTTACTCTATATAAACGAGCTCCAACAGAAACCTTGAAAACCACCCATCTATCTTTGAACTAATTCATCATGTCAACTGCCATTTCCTTTCCCACCATAAAACCAACTCATATCTTCCAAGACATTCTTGTAAGTTCTTACTCAAGAAGATTACTACTAGATCAATCACCAAGTCCGGCACCGTCCCCATATGCAGCTGATAACAACTTTGATGCAAATGTTGTTATGGTCCTATCAGTCCTCTTATGTGCACTCGTTTGCTCACTTGGACTCAATTCTATAATAAGATGTGCCTTGAGGTGCTCCAGTTTAGTACCATCCGAAGCGGGTGGCAACCACGCAGCTCGCTTGACCAACACAGGTGTCAAACGAAAAGCCTTGAAGAGTTTCCAGACAGTAAGTTACTCTAGTGATTTGAATCTGCCTGGCCTAGATACCGAGTGTGCCATATGTCTCTCGGAGTTTGTATCCGAAGAGCGTGTGAAGCTGCTTCCGACATGCCACCACGGATTCCATGTCCGGTGTATAGACAAGTGGCTCAGTTCTCACTCGTCCTGTCCCACCTGCAGGCACTGCCTCATCGAGACCTGCAAGAAGATCGCCGACTGCAGCCAAACAAGCTCGTCAAACCCTACTCAACAACCTCAAGACAGCATCATCGTGCAAATAGCACCACTAGAACCGGAAAGATGGATAAGGTGTTTTAGGTGAGCTAGTAAATTATATATAGTAGCAGTTAAGTTCAAAACCGGATTAAACTACTATGTATTTAGAATTTAGTCGAGATCACAAGCGGTCCACATTTGAAAACAAGTTTAGCATTTTCACTCTAAAGTTGTATATATTACGAGAAAATGTCACTTTCTTCGTATCTCGACCTCCTAAATGTTCACAATTACAGGGAAAAATTTAGATAACAGCCAACTTTATCAAAACCTGCAAAACATCACATTGGAAAACGAAAATATATTATAAAGAAAACTCAGAAGTCCAACGTGCATGTTGATGAGAGAGCAAATGAGATTAAACAATAATTCAAGGTGGTGGGCAACTAAGAGAAATGTCTCAATCAGTAGCATTAAGAAGTTTCAAGGCTATAAAAGTCAGGCTCTACCACTAAGCTTATTTTTTACTAATTATCATACGGGTTAATGCCCTTTTTAGTGTAAAGCATATAACTATATAATGTAGCCTTCCACAAGTAGAAGGACCCTTCTTGTATTGTTGTTATTGAACAGCTTAAACTGTAGCCTTTGATTAAAATGATCATCAGGCCATATACAATGTACTAATGTAATCCACTGAAAAGGAAAAAGACAGGTTACAGTTATAAACAAACGGCATAAAGTGTCCGAATCCATCATACGGTCCAATGGTTGTAGAAGAGGAGTAATTAGAAGTTTTTACAGAATCATACGAAGAAAGTGACAAAAGGAGATGAGTAACCACAATAATTCAACAACTGCCATTTATGTCAAATTCATATATATCAAGATCAAGATCATTTTCACAAAAATTCATGGAAATTGGATTATGAAGAGCTGCAATCAATCACTTAACACTGATAAAGCAGTAAAATGTATACAAAGCATCAAACAATGGATAAGGTCCCATCACTATATCACCTCTATGTAAAAAAACTTAAGCACAAGCATCAGAAAAAGATGCTACAAGGGAAACAAAAGAATTTTGGAAACAAATCTTAGGTGTAGAACGGCAACGCAACGAACAGAATCTCGAACCCTAGATACCAATTGGGCATCAATCAAAGTAAAATATATCCTTGTTGTTAAACACATTACTCCTCCTTGGGATCAATCAATGAACACAAGTGCTTTCAAATCATTGGTGCTGAATCTGGATGCAAAATCAATAACATCTCATATATCTAGATTTTTTAGATGCTAAAAAACTATAGTTTGGATGCAAATCTAGCATCTCAAAAATCAAAAGACTAAAATATTTTTCACTATAACATATCCATAATTATCTTTAAAAAAACAAATTTCGCTAAAACCGCATAATCACAGCACCTTCCCCCCCCCCCTCTCCTAAAAAAAAATTCTTGGTTTCCCACAAAAAACCGCAAAATCTCATTTGTCCACGAAACCCATAAAATCAAGTTTTCCCGCCAAATCTGTAAAATCTCGATTTTCTCGCCAAAACAAAAAATTTTTGATGTCCCATGATAACCCGCCAAAAACTCAAAATTTTGTTTTCCCGTCAAAAACAAAAATCTTGTTTTTCCGCCAAAAACAAAAATCCTGGTTTCTTGTCAAGAACGAAAAATCTTAGTTTCTTGCCAAAAACTCAAAATCTTGATTTTTCGTCAAAAATGCAAAATTTTGATTTTTCGCCAAAAACATAAATCTTGATTGCCAAAAACTCAAAATTCTAGTTTCTCGGCAAAACACAAAAAAAGTTTCCCCGCCAAATTTGCAAAATCATGTTTTCCCGCAGAAAAATGCAAAAAAACAAAAATTTCATGTATTTTTAAAACTTAATTTGATAAAAATATCACTTCGAAACAATTTCAAATTAATCTAATATAAAGCTAATCTGAATATAAATAAAAAAAATGATAATTCAAAAATATGTCATTTTAAGTCATTTGATATATTTTGCATTTTAAATTCACAAACGAACAATTTTGTATCTAGACATAACATCTTGATGCAAAAACTAATTTCCAAAAATATCTAGTTGCTAAATCTAGATGCAGCATCTAGTTCAAATTTGAACAGAGCCTTAGTGTTTGTACAAAAAAACTATTAAAGTTTGATAATATAACCTAAACATTTGTTATTCACCAAATCTCATATTTTTCTATCATTTAGCATTATTAACATTCCAAAACACTTAAGCATTTTCTTCATGCCAGCCCCACTTATACGGAAAAGCATTTGTTATACTTATATCTTAAAACTAGGTGGGACTCACACTAAGCGCAGTGTTGCAATAGAAGTATAATGAGGGGATTTTTTAGTAGAAAATAATGAAAAATGAGAGGATTGATACTGAATTTTCAAATTTCTCAACCATAGATTCAGTATAACTACAAAGTGTCATAAATAAATGCTTAGATTTGTTAATATGGCCATAGCTATCGTATACATCATATATATATATATACTCAGTATTTGTTAAACTAAACTTAAACTTGGAGACGTATCATACGATATATAGGTCTCAAAATATAATGCTACTCCATTATGTGTTTTGGCAAATAAACAAGCTATAATCAAATTTGTAAATTCTGCCACAAAGCTTTTTTGTAACCATATGTTTACTAGCATTACAAGTTTACAACTATTTTTTTAGATTTATGCGCAAGAAATATATAAAGTTTGGTTCATGAAAGACAGGCCTGGTCCAGAGGCTAGGCAAACACTTAAGACTACCATCTTTATGGGTCACCTAATTCGTTTTAAGTTAATAAGCTATCAAAATGGTCATAATTACTAAAAATAAATAAGTATACGTTCACAAGAACAAGAAAAAGAACGAAATTGATTCTTTCTAAAATCAACCAAATAACAGAAAAGCAAGCAATATATAATAGACAAACTAAAAACAAGAAATAACATCAGACATTTAAAAAACAAAAACAACAACTAGATAAGAGAATTTTTTTTAAAAAAAAATAGAAAATATTCATAGAGTATGAGCTCCGAGTTCGGTTTTGCCAACAGTCTTTTTCTTGTTTGAGAAAACCTGATATAAGCAAAGAGAAACAAAGTACCATATCATATAATTATGCTTAAAATATGCTTTTCATGGTCAAGTATTGCTGTGAGGAAGATTTCAAGAGCGAGTAGGCTATCTAAACACAATACATCCTTCATTATGAATATTTTGGTAAGAGAGACAAAATAGTTGTAGATGGTGAAATTGTGGGTTAACTGGACCTTATTTAACTAGACTGAGTTTTTATCCTCCACACTAATAAAGAAATACATATTACCTACAATACTAATAAGAATAAAATAATATTAATAATACTTAAAATGGTTCTTTAAATAATATTATAGAGATTTTTGATCAAAAAAATAATAATAATAATAATATAGATATCTTAATGTATTGATAACAAGAGAAAAAAAAGACATGCAAGTTTAGAAGAAAAAAAATTAACAAAGAAATTCTTAACATAAACAGGGAAGACAAGAATATCATCAAAATGAGCCACTGCATTTCTTTGATCTACATAGACAAGTTTTCCTCTTCCCATATCCTGTAAATGCTCCATAATCATACGTCAACTCCATTAATGGAGGAATATGCTTTATAGCGAAACACCCAATGTGAATACACCATACACCCTTTTCTTCACGAGAAATTGGTTGCCACATAACGTTGGGAGAGCAACTATGGTTCATAAAACGAGCCACATTTCCTGATTTCTTTGCACTTATCAAAAACGGTATAGCAGGACGACTAATCACCTCAGAGACTTTCTTAGAAGCATCTTCACCTACAAGCTCAGGTTCATAGTTCCATTGAAACGATTTAGAAACCCGTGAAGAATCAAAAATATAATCATCTGTCACTTCATCACCTTGTTGTATAATATCACCAGCAAATTCACAGATGAAACTTCCTGCTCGAATTGGATTTAAAGACCTTAAACCCCACCCACGATCCATCGTCTTAAACACTTCTAAACTGAATTTCAGACCAGTCCCAATCATCTTGTTTTTGCAGTCATTAGAACAAGGACAAGAGTCACCGCACTCATAAATCATTGATCTACGGGTGACTAAAACTCTATCAACATAAGGTAACTCACCTCCATTTCTCTGAACGCAAAGGCAATCATCCCTCGAACAACAGGATTTAGGTCGACAAGTGCATAAATCAACCATAGGTGGAACATCAATGACTGTGTGCTTCAGAGAAGTGATATAACTAAAAGAGGAAGGACCCTTCTCGTCATCAACTTCATTCACCAGAGAAACCTTTAGATTCTCAGCTCCATTAGAGAGATCTTCAAGAACAAGACCTGGTCTTGTAACCAACTCTTTCTTCCATTGCTCTATCGATTTCCATAGTCCAAAGGCGGGTTTCTGATCAGCCTGCCTCACCAATCTGAATTTGAATACCTTGAAACCACTTGAACTTTTCTCTTCCCACATTTCTGTGATGGAATAAAGCCCATCGTATATGTATACATTACCTTGCGACCTTTTTTCATCTTCCACGGCTCTTATAACCCTTACAACACTTTTTTTCTTCAGAGCTTCCTCTAACGAAAGATTCATCCTATCAAGCTTCTGATCAGATTCTTGACCACCAAACCCTGTATAGATCAAGCTATCGGGATCTTGAGCTTCGTCAGCATTCTTTCCCGAAGAGACAACACTAATAGCTAATCTTTTCTCCTCTCCGCTGTCTTCAACTTTCATGAAGTTAGTACCAATGGGGACTGCATGTAGCCCCACAAAAAGTGCGTAGAGCTGTGGAAACCTCACCTCGGACATTCTTAACTTGGCTCAGACGCCTTCTTACAGCGTTGAATCGCATCATCAAGCTACTCACAAGTTCATCGTTTCCGGTTTCTTGATTTACTTTATTAATACTGCCTTGAAAGAGAGGAACCCATTTTATCAGTCTGTCACTCTGCTTCGACTTCTTGGAGTTTTGCGAGCCCTTAGGTCGGCCACGTCCTCTTTTCAACGGACCACTACTAGGTCCAACATCAGCAGGAGAATTATCGTTGTTAGAGGCGTTTTTGGTGTTAGGTTCTTCTCCGCCAGGAAACTTGCGGCTCCCTTCACCTCTTTCCATTGCAAAACTCCTATCATTAAAAAGTAGTTTTGTTATCGCTTTGAATTGAGCAGAAGCGTAAATATGGTTGATAAATACATACAGAGAATTAAGAACTCATGTTTCTCTTCAAGCATAAACAGAAAAATTAGTTTAGTTTGTGATCAGTTATTATCATTATATTTGTATTAATTGGGAGTACAAACGTCTAGGTTTTTGGTTTAGCTTAAAACGAACTAATATTAAACATGTTACACTCTTGTTCTTTTGTTTTATTTTGCCAAATACATTTCCAATTCCAAGTTTTATACTAAATATATATTTCACATCAATAAACATATGATTTTAAAAAACAAAAATAAACAAGACAATATTAAATGCATAATAGATCGATCAAGGAAAAGAGAAAAAACAAAATTTGAACTTTTTGCTAAATTTTGTTTTTGAAATATTTGTTAAAAAAACAGTATTGATTGATTTACATAAAAAGGAAAGACAAAATTGGCTACTATAAAACAAGAAGTGAAATGAATTCTAAACAGCAATAAAATATGAGATTCAATTCCTAAATACAAATAACTTCAGTTCCTACATCAATCCGGAAAAAAAAAATTAAATAATTAGATAGTCAATATTTATATAACAAAAGAGAGAAAATTGATTAGAACTAAGGTTTTAAGAAACGAAAAATCAAGAGAATAGAAATGGTTCAAAATCTTTTTGTCAAACACGGGTACGATGATATAATATGTCTCGTAAAAAAAAATCAAAGTATGGAAACAACTAACTTTCATCTTTAAATAAAAACTTATGTTTTAACCGAAGAAACTGGATTTTAAAATTAGCATTAAGTAAAAATAAATTCTTAGTCAAACGATAAATACAGTATACATCACAATACAAACATAAAACAATATATGTATAGATATTGATTTAGAGTAAAACCTCAAAAAGAACAAAATTAATTAATGATAAAACTTATATCGGATCATATCATACCTTTAGAAGAAGAGGACTACGATTCAAAGAAAACAACAAGAATCCAAGAGGAAAGAAGATGCAAAAGCTTATGAAAGTAAATATTTGAAATAGTGAAAAAAATATTATTAGCTGTTTTTTGTAAGTGTAAGAAAAAATGTAAAGCGTGCAACCCTTATTTATAACATTTTGAAATGATTCTATATCTTTTTATGCCTTTTGGATCAAGATTGGAGGATCTTTACCGTCTAAATCGGATACTCTAAAATCAGGCAGATTTGTTTCCTTTTAATAACTTTTTTACCAAATTTTTATTAATTAAATAATATAAATTTAAAATTGAAATTAATGTTTTCATTGACTATATTTCTTTCTACTTTCTATTACTTATATACCAAATTTGTATTTTAAAATAATTATAGTCAAATAGGTTAAACTTTATTACTTTTTTAATTAATTTTTTAACTTTTTTAACTTGAGAAAATAAGTAAATAAAACTCTATTTGACTGTTTTTTAATAGCTCAACTGGTAAAGATCTTAGACAAAGCCTAGAGTTCGCTGGTTCGAGTGGCTTTTGGGGCAAAACTAATATAACGTGTTGTAGTTTCGGACCTGGAGAGATTACAAGCTTCGGCCCAAAACTTCCTGTTAATCCGAAAACAAAAAAAAAATTCACAAACCCTACATGTAATCCAAACTTCTAATAAATTAATTATAAGTTACAACATGATCATCGTTCGTTTGTAAATTTAATCTATAAAAGTATAATCAAACACACACACAAAACTGTTGCCTAAGTTACAGTTCAGCATAACCTCTATTTAATATATATGGAAAAAAGTTGCATTAGAAAAAAGAGAGAGAGAGAGAGTCATTTTTCATTTATATTGGTTTCTTCTAGTAGGTATTATATACTGGTGCTTTCTTTTTGAGTTCCAACTCTCTTGTTGTAGTTATCATTATTGTAACACTGAAAGATTATTATTTATCAATTTGTTTGTAAAACAGAGTTACAAATTTATATGTGATCCGCTTTATTGTCTAAAATTTACGATAGAAGTATAATGAGGATATTTCTTCGTAGAGAATAATTAAAATGAGAGGATTGATACTAAATTCAACTATCCCAACCATAGATTCAGTATAACTACAAAGTGTCATAAATAAATGCTATCGTATATATCATATATGGTAAATGCTAAGTATTTGTTAAACTAAACATAAACTTGGGAGCGTATCATGCGATATATAGGTCTCAAAACATAATACAACTCAATTAGTGTGTCTCAAAACATAATACAACTCAATTAGTGTGTTGGCAAATAAACAACCTATAACCAAATTGTAAATTCTGCCACGAGGCTTTTTCTGTAACTATATGTTTACTAGCATTTCAACTATGTTTTGACATTTTTTTAGGTTTATGCACAAGTAATATACAAAGTTTGGTTCATGAAGGATAGACTCAGTCCAGAGGCTAGGCTGGCTCGGCAAACGCCTAGGGCTACTGTTTTTTTTTTTTAAGTTTTTCATGGATCACCTAATTAGTTTTAAGTTAATAAGCTATCAAGATGATCATAACTACTAAAAATAAATAAATAATTATACGTTCAAAAGAACAAGAAAAAGAACGAACAGAAAAACAACTGATACATAAAAAATAAACTAAACATATAAAATAACATCAGAAACTTAATAAACAAAAACTCGATAACAGAAATTATAAAGAAAATAAAAATTCTTCATACCGTATGAGATCCAAATTCAGTTTTGCCGACAATTTTTTTGTTGTTTGAGAAAAATACAAAGAGAAATGGAGTACCATAGCATATAATTATGCTTAAAATATGCTTTTCATGGTCCATTTTTGCTGTGAGGAAGATTCCAAGAGTGAGTAGACTATCAGAACACAACACATCCTTCATGGTAAATATCTTGGTAAGAGAGACAAACTAGTTGTAGATAGTAAAGTATAAGCTGACATAATATAACGATTTAGGAAAAAAATGCATAGGAAAATTTTTTACTAAAACTGCATAATCACAGCTTTTTTGCCTTATCAAGTCTTCCCCTACCCCCTTAAAAATGAAAATCTCGGTTTCCCACCAAAAACCGCAAAATCTTATTTTTTCACGAAAACCATAAAATCAAGTTTCCCACCAAATCTGCAAAATCTTGATTCTCTCGTCAAAACGAACAGGGCCTCTATTTTAGGATTATTAGCTTTTGCATCAAGATGCTACATCTAGATATTAAATTATTCGTTTGTGAATTTAGAAAAATAGTTGGATGCAAAATATATCAAATGATTAAAAAGGGCATATTTTTGAATTGTTATTGTTTATTTATAATTAAATTAGTTTTATATTAGATTAATTTAAGATTATTTCCAATTGATATTTATTATCAAAAATAATTTTTAAAATACATGAAACAAATATTTTTATATTTTTTTACGGAAAAATATGATTTTGCATATTTGATGGGGAAATTGTTTTTACTAGAACTTTGAGTTTTTGATGGAAAATCGTGATTTTGGGTTTTGGCGGAATTTGAGATTTTGCATTTTTGATGGAAAATTGAGACTTTTTTTTGCAGGAAACCAAGATTTTTATTAAAATCAAGATTTTGTGTTTTGGCGGGAAATTAAGATTTTGCGTTTTGGCAAAAAATTGAGATTTTTTTTGTTTTTTTTGCAGAAAATCAAGATTTTTTATTTTAGCAGGAAATCAAGATTTTGTGATGTTTGTGGAAAATCGAGATTTTACGTTTTTTGAAGAGAAATCGAGATTTTTAGTTTTTGGCCAAAAAATAACATTTTGTGTTTTTTTGCGAGAAAACGAGATTTTGCGATTTTTGCGGAAAATCGAGATTTTACGGATTTAGCATAATTTTTTATTTTGGTAAGAAATGATTTTTTGACTAAAAATAATTTGTAAAGATAATTATGAATATCTTATTGTGAGGAGTATTTTAGTCTTTTGGTTTTTGAGATGCTAGATTTGCACATATAACATTTAGGCCATGTTCGGTTTTTGATCTAAATGTTGTATCTAGATTTTGCATCTAGATCAGCATCTTGATACAACATCTAGATATTGTTTGTTTTGGAAACTAGGTTTTGCATCAAGATGCTACGTCTAGATACAAAATTGTTCGTTTGTGAATTTAGAAAAATAGTTGGATGCAAGATATATCAAATGACTAAAAAGAACATATTTTTGAATTATTATTTTTTTAATAAGTGATATTTATAATAAGTGATATCAAACTAAGTTTTAAAAATATATGAAAAAAAATAATTTTGCATTTTTTGCAGGAAAACATGATTTTGCATATTTGACGGGAAAAATTTTTACTGGAATTTTGAGTTTTTGATGGAAAATCAAGATATTGCGTTTTTGGCGGAAAATCGAGCTTTTGTGTTTTGGCAAAAAATCGAGATTTTTCTTTTATGGCAGAAAACCTTGTTTTTTTGTTTTTGGCGGAAAACAAAATTTTACGTTTTTGCGGGAAACCAAGTTTTTTGTTATTGGTGGGAAATCGAGATTTTGTTTTTTTTGGCAGGAATCAAGATTTTTTATTTTCGGCGAGAAATCGAGATTTTTTGTTTTTGGCGGGAAATCAAGATTTTGCGTTTTTGGCGAGAAACAGAGATTTTTCGTTTTTAGAAGGAAATCTAGATTTCTTGTTTTTGGCGAGAAACCGAGATTTTTGTTTTGGCTGAAAATTGAAATTTTGTATTTTTGATGGGAAACCAAGAAATTTTTGTTTTGGCAAAAAATCGAGATTTTTGTTTTTGGATGGAAAGCGAGAGTTTTTGTTTTTGGCGAGAAACCGAGAATTAACATTTTGGCGGGAAATCAAGATTTTTTTTGCGGAAATCGAGATTTTTCATTTTAGCGGAAAATCGAGATTTTGTCATGTTTGTGGAAAATCAAAATTTTGTGTTTTTGATGGAAAATCGAGATTTTGATTTTTTGGTAAAAATTTGAGATTTTGCGTTTTTGACGGAAAAACGTGATTTTACGATTTTTGCATAAAATCAAGATTTTGGAAAAAATAGATTTTTTGGTTTAGCTTAACTTTTTGTTTTGATAAGAAATGATTTTTTGACTAAAAAATAATTTTTTAAAGATAATTATGAATATGTTATAGTGAGTAGTATTTTACTCTTTTGGTTTTTGAGATGTTAGATTTATATCTATACTCTACATTTTTCAGTATTTTAAATATCTATATTTGAGCATTTGCATTCAGATTCAAGTTAGTTCTAAAGTGTCTAAACGAATAATATTTAAGTATTTACATTTAGATGCAGGTCTGGATGAAAAAACAAACAGAACCTTAAATGTTAGTTTTAAAATGTCTAAACAAACAACATTTGAGTATTTGCAGATGCAAAAACGAACAGTACCAGAGAAAGCTTTTGTGGGCTTATCAATTGGGCCGTATCAACGAAGATGAACTTAGAAAAAAAATGGGATTATTTTAAAAATGAGTTCAACTAAAAATATTCCGATTTCTGAGGTTATTCTAGAAACCTAAGAAAATTTGGTATCGCAGCCGCAGCAGACGGAGAGTAATGGCGAGCACTTCGTCGTCTTCCTCATCTTCTGCTCGCGAATTCGAAGTTGAGAAGGAGATTAAGAGGCAAGAGGTTGCAATAGATGAATTGAACTGTCTCTCTTCTTCTCGTAGAGTCTACCACATAAACGGGAACCTCTTCTTCCTCACAACCGCGGAGAAAGCGAAAAAGAATGCGCAAAAACAACTCGACTACCAAAATCTGAAATCGTCAAGATTCGTTCGCAGACATAACTGTGGAGCTTTTGTAGTTGCTTAAAAATCCAAAGGTTCTTCTCGATACAGAGCTTACCTCTCTCTATCTCTCTATTGCTTCAACTTGTTGATGTAATGGAATGCTATATATCAATTTTCATCAGTTTAGTATGAAACACTAAAGAAAGATCAATTTCGTTGAATTGGTTGCAGATATCTTGGATTTTAATTTTCTAAATCAGCTATTCTGATAATAAGTTCCTTTAATTACCTAAGACTAAACCCTTGTATTGAGAATACTGGTTCTTGCTCTAAGCAAAAGTCTTTGCTTTTGCCTTTGTAGATTACAAATTTTCAGGACATAGTTGCAAAACACATTAGACACTATATTTGTTGAAAGACAGACATAGTTGCAACTTCGGTTTTAGAGAAATCTTTTGGTTTCTTATCACTCATCAGAAGATTATTAGCACAAATTTAAAAAGGTCGAAACTTTAGAGATTGATTTAACTTTTATTTCCATTCTTGTTCATCTACAAAGCTTACTCCATTCATAGCTGGCTACTGATTAATCGATACAGAAAATCCAAGTTTTCTCATGAGAAAAACCTAATTTGACTAACACATTAAACCTTCAAACTTGAAGATTTTGTTGGGCCACCGAAAAACTTGACGGAACAGTAAAAGGTCGTAACGGAACAGTAAACGCCGGTTAACGGAACAGTAAACGCCGGTTACATTTTTCAAAACGTGTGTAAATTTCATTAGTTTGGTAATGGAAAAATGTTTTTTAGTAATTAATAAAATATTAAAATTAATTAATTAAATTAAAGGAATAAAAAATAGAACAAAAGAAATCTAGATCTCCGAATCGAAATAAAATTCCCAAATCAAGTTTGGGTTTAGGGTTCATGAGTGTAACCCAGAAACGAAAAATTACCAGAAATCTGTAAATTGGAGATTAGGGAAGATGTAAATCAAGACAAAGTGACGAAATATTTGGGTTTAGGGGCGCAAAGTACAACGAATTAAGGATAGAGGAGGTAAGTTAATTTCGGTCCTCTTTAGAAAAAGTTGAATTTCGGTTTCGCACCAGGTAAATGTTGCTTCCATCGTGATAACTATGGTTCATGGAGGTTTGTATTCAATTATTTGTAGATGGCGGATCATGGTAGCTCATCAAAGAGTGTAAAGAAGGATTAAACACTCGTTTTGTGTTACTGTAACGAGGAAGCGAAAATTGTCCAAGCTTGGACTGATACAAACACTAGACGGAGATTCTACACTTGTAGAGGACGTAGAATTGATAACGGATTTGAGAATTGTAAATTTTTCCGTTGGGTTGATGTTGAGAAGCGACACGGATGGCAACATCTTGCTTTGTTGGAGGCCAGAGACATCATTCGAGAGCAAAAAGAAGAGATTAGAAATCTGAAGCAAGAGTTGTCATTCAGGAATACGGTTAATGTGGGAAAACCGAACGATGTATTGACTCAGCTCAAGCAGTCTCAGGAGGAATGTGAAGCTCCGAAGCAGGAAGTGTTGGTTTTGAAGGAAAAAAGCATTGTACAATACCTTATGTCTCTGGAGTAGTTTAACTTATTTTCATGGTATCTGAATCCAATGTTGTTAGTAAGTATTGGTTGAAGACAATGTTTAACATTCAATGTTTTTGTTGTTTGTTAAAAAATTCTCAGATCCAATGTTTTTCAGTGAAGACATAGTATCGGTTGATGTTATATTTGATTAAAGACATTGTCTTTGTTGTTTGTCAGAATTTACACACACGATAGAGAGAGCTGATAAACAAGTTTACCAAAGTTGATACACATCCAATAGAGCTTAGCAATGTTTAACTCACCAAAAAAAAAGTCTAAAACAAGCCACATCCAACAGAGCTGATAAACAACCCAAAGTTTAACACACCAAAAACAATGTCTACAATTAAAGCTGATAGATAAACATGTTCACACGAACTTTATAGCCTAAAACAAACTACTGCTGCACATCTTCTAGTTCTCCTTCTTGCTGGTTTTCTTGAGTGTTTTCTTGAGGATGTGTGTTTAGGTCAGATCAGTCATACACTCTATTTCCAAATACTTCAAATGGTCGATCTGTGTATGGACTCCAGAATGTTCCACAACCGTTTGGAATGTAAACAGCAGATTTCTTTACCTTCAGTGGTCGCCCTCTTGAAGGTTTCTTGACATGTGGTTTGACCTGAGCAGATGAAAGTGATGGTTCTGGAGCACTACATATCACAGGCGTCTGCGAGCTTGATTCACCTGCTTGTTGGGAAGCTGTTGAAGAACTTGTAGCCTCTCTAGTTTTTTTTGCTTGCTGCAAGATGGAAGAAACATTTATCAGTCGGATCATTTTCATTCTTTCAAAGTAACGGTCATGAGAATCTTACCGGTTGTGAGCTACTTCTTGTGGCTGGAGTCTTTCTTACTCTTGGCTTTGGTGGAGGCTTTGGATGACTCAGAAACTGTAAACAGAATACAACATAACTAGTAATGAGTAACCATCGAAGATCTATCTAAAGTAATGAGAGACAAAAGCCATTAATAATACCTCACTCGGTGGTTTACAAGGTCTACCACGCCTGTTTTTTGGACCTTCCACAACAACTGGTTCTTTTTTGCTGCTTCTCTTGCATTTGCATCCTGTTCATCAGTATTTTTATATGCTTCTCTATCAGGTACAACCATAGAACCTTCCTCAAATACTGACTGAAAACGATCATCATTAGCTCCATCACCAGCATCTAAATATACTTCATCTCCCTCATCAACCAGATTTGTGTTCTCATTTCCTAAACCCTTTGCTGCTCCATCACCAGCATCATTCGCATCTCTACCTTCGACCATATTATCATCAAACTCAGCCTCACCGTCAGCCTGATCTTGATCTTCACCCTCAGCTTCATATCCTTCATCATGTTTTTCATCCTCAGATTGCTCAGGTTCTTCATCTTCTTTTGGCCTCTCGACATCTACATCACTTTCAGAACTGAAATTTGGGTCCTCACCATTTTGAATATCTTCAAGTTGACTACTTGGTAGCAGATGAATGATTGCATTCTCGCTATTTTCTGAAATGTCATGTTCCACATAGATCTCAAGCTCACATGAACTATGCCCCAACATAACCAACGGAAACATGTCTTCGTCAGAATCATCAAACACATAGTTGACTGTCCTCATCTCTTTCCCAGCCTCTTTATACCATATGAACCTAATAGGAGCATGCAACATTGCTTCAAGCTTGCAGAAGTCAACAAATATTTTCCAAGTAATGTGTGATGCTTTCCAATTCACGATGTGAGAGCCCAGTTCTCCTTCGTAAGTGTAATCTTCATTTTTATTCTTCATAAACCCACCAAAATGAATGGTGAGTTTGATTGCTCTCTCTGGATTACTGTAAAATACGAAAAAATCAAAAACGTAATGAAGCAGAGAAAATTTCGTAGAGGAAACTCGCATAAGAAATGTCATGTGCCATTTGAGAGAAGAAACATGAAACTAAACCCAAATTTTGAATATCAAACCCGAAAATAGACATAGAAATCAAAAGTAAAAAAATTTCAAACCCAGAAATCAAAACACGGCGAAAAAAAAGAGAAGAGAGAGAGTTGAGAACGAAATCGAATCCATCGGACATACGCAGAAGAGAGAGTTGAAATCCTTACCTCATCTTGACTTGAATGCATCCGATTCTTCCTTCTTTACGTTCTATTTCTCTCTTTCGGTTTCGAACCCGAAATTTGACTCAATTTGGGGATTTTGACTTCAGTTTGGGAATTTTGACTCCTATACACTCGACATAATAATATATTATGTCAAAAATTCATTTTATTTTATTAATTACTAAAAACATTTTTCCATTACCAAACTAATGAAATTTACACACTTTTTGAAAAATGTAACCAGCGTTTACTGTTCCGTTACGACCCTTTACTGTTCCGTCAAGTTTTTCGGCGGCCCAACAAAATCTTCAAGTTTGAAGGTTTAATGTGTTAGTCAAATTAGGTTGGAGGTTTATTCTGCTAGTGAAAATCTCTAGAGGTTTAAAATGCTACCTTTTATATCCTTCGAAGTTTAAAATGCGATTTTCCCCTTTACTATTTTTAGAGATATGAGAAACTTTATACCTAAGCCACATAGGATACAATAATTAAAAAGTTAAAAAAAAAAAAAATTGGTATTTTTCTTTTCGAGTCTTAACAAACAAACACATTTAACGGTCACATTTCCGGACAAAAAGACAATATAGATATTTTGATCTAAACCTTTTGATAATTTAGACCATTTGGTTTATATATATAGTTTTAAATCCCACGAGTAGAAGTGGAAGAAGTAGCTTTGTTGGTGGCATGCATCTCCTCGCTGCTTGAGGACGACGGGTCAAGCCCGTACTCACTCGTGCCACCGTATTCGCTACTTGCACCGTAATCACGACTGTCCAATGTCACTTTCCGGAATTTCCTCATCTCTGCACCATACGTGCCCGTCTCATAGTCCGAGCTTCCGTCTCCTCCGCTCGAACCCTGCCCCGGTTTCACACCTTCGTTTAAGTCATCCAGCGACGCATCACCCTCCAACGTCCGAACAATCTAATGAAAAGATTGCAAAAAAGGAAAAAAAAAAACGTTATGTATGTGGGTTACAATACAAATACATTGTAAATATAAGTTATTTCAAATAAATTGTAACAAAATATCTAGTAGGTCAAAATCTTTAAACCGATTTGGGTCAAAATATCAGTGATGAAATGATTTTGGCTGACCAAATTTTTAAATTAAAACCTTGCATGATAGTCAGATATATACTTACCTGACTCATTTTAGGGCGGCGTCGACCAGAGTGCCTAACGGCTGCAGCAGCACAAGCCACCATGCGTGCCATCTCATTAGGCTCGTAACGGTTCTCAAGAAATGGATCAACCAATTCTCCATATTCTCCACCCTGAGCTGCGTTCATGCATAATGGTCTCGCCTGCGTGCCAATGTAAAAAATAATGTTTACTTTCGTTTTTGTTTTGAGTTTGAATTAATATGAATGTACAAGTAATATAGACTCACCCAATCGACCAAACTGTCTTCCATATCCCCACTTAGATCAACAGGTCTGCGTCCGGTTATGAGCTCAAGAAGCATAACTCCAAATGAGAAAACATCTGATTTCTCTGTTAATTTTCCACTCGATGCATATTCAGGAGCTAAGTATCCGAATGTCCCCATGACTCTAGTCGACACATGCGTGTAGTTGTCTTGAGAGAGCTTAGCCAGACCAAAATCTGCAACCTGGAGATCAATTGAAAGGAATGTTATGGAGAAGATCGTAGAAACAAAAAGGTCAACTAATTTAAAGCATACCTTGGCTTCGAAGTTTAGATCAAGCAGAATGTTTGAAGCTTTTATGTCTCTATGGATGATTTTAGGATGACCTTAACACAATTATCAGACAAAAACATATAAATGTCATTTTTCTTGGGCTTTGATTTTAGTCATAAGGCAAAAAAAAAAAAAAAGAAGAGAGGTTCACTCACAATCTTCGTGTAAATATGCAAGTCCTTTAGCTGAGCCTAAGGCAATCTTGAGTCTAGTAGGCCAATCCATCACAGTCCCACTTTTCCCTATAAATTCCATTGATTTAGTGACAACGTAAGCTATTTAAATATATACACAAGAACACTATAAAACTCATCATTAATTACATACCATGAAGGTGGAACTCAAGTGTGTCATTAGGAAGAAACTCATAGACCAACATCCTCTGTCCTCCTGAATTACTGCAATATCCAACAAGAGACACGAGATGTCGATGATGAACTCGGCTAATGATCTCAACCTCTGCCTGGAACTCTCTTTCACCTTGTCCACTTCCCGCTTTAAGGCTCTTCACCGCGATCTCTTTACCGTTAGGCAAGATTCCTTTATGAACATATCCAAACCCGCCTTGTCCTAACAGACGGTCTTTTGAGAAACCTTGAGTTGCGGCTGCGAGCTCCTCATAAGTGAATGTACTTTGGTTAAATCCCAAAGCCACTGCAGGGTGTGGCGGTGGTAGAGATGGAGCGTATGGACCTGATGAGAAATTTGAGCTCATCTCGCCGCTATTGATCACATTTAAGCCTCCTCCTGACACTGGTGGTGCAGGTGGCGACGGCATTGGCTGCCAGTTTCCTGGAGGTGGTGGTGGCGGCGGTGAATTCACCCAGTTTGTTCCCATTGATCCAGGAGGTGGAGGTAGATTCACAATGTGATCATTTTGGTTGTAATGTTGTTGTTGTTGCTGTGTAGCAGCACTATTGAAATACTGATCACCACCAGCTAACATCAACCAAATAAATTATGAGATGTAATTTAAAAGTTAATACGATTCAGAGACTTTGCAGAATTTTCCTAGTTTTTTGGGTACCAAGAAACAAAAATTTACGCTTTTCTTGGTTAACAAGAAAATAAGTAGAACTAGGTCAAACTAAAGGTTAAGCAATGATTAAGGTTCATGGTTTGTTTATGAGATGGTGTTTGAAAGTGAAGTGTCGATTCATTTGGATCATCTAATTTCTTGGCTAACAAGAAACAACATTCATGCTTTTTTTCATGGCAAAAAGATTCTAACGGGGTTTGATTAGGGTTCAATGTGGTTTTGTATATACGTACTTTTGCCTGCAGCGAAAGCATTGCTTCCGTAGTACGGCATCTGATCAAGCTTTGATTTCTTCTTCTTCTTCTTCCGCAAACAACAGACGCAGAACAATATCATGACAAGGAACAGAAGTCCAGCTGCAGCCACAAGTCCTATAACAGCAGCCATGTTCTGACGATCGTTACTTGACGAATTCGAGCCACCGTTGCTTGTAGGAGACGCCAGCGATTTTGGTGGCGACGGTGAGCTATGGTCAGAAGTCTTGGAATGCGGTGGAGGAGGAGGAGAATTGTTTCTGCCTCCGTTGCTGCTACCATCATTTCCTTTGTCATTTTCGTTGTTATTGTTGTTTTCCTTGCCATCTTGTTGCGGTGGGGGCGGTGAAGGAGGAGATGGTGGAGATTGTGATTGTGATTCAGACGGTGGTGGTGGAGGCGAAGAGGAAGAGTCATTGGAGGAATTTTCCGGCGAAGGAGGAGGAGGTGATTCTTGTTGTTGTTGTTGTTGGGGTGGAGGAGCTAGAGGTGAAGACGGAGGAGGAGGAGAAGGTGTTGTTTGATTGTCTGAAGGAGGAGGAGATGTTGTTTGATTGTTGGAAGAGGGAGACGACGGAGAAGGGGGAGGAGGTTCCGGCGGTGAGTTCTCCGGGGATTGCCCCTCCGCCATAATCTCTCTCTTTCTCTCTCCGGTGGTTTTCAATCCGAAGTAATTGTGAGATGAAACATCTAACACCCAACTCTGTTCCTAGGAACAAGGAAGCTCTTTTTTTTTTGTTTAATTCTATTTTTAAGAAAAGTTGGAATTTTTTTTTGTTACATCTATATTTGGGATTTACAGCCTAGGGAAAAAAAAAAATTTGCAACTACCATTTTGTTTTTTTTTAAAAAAATTGGTTTAGAAA